GAAAGATCCAGCCGTGGCCCTAAGCTTGGCTGCCTCGATCTCCTTGCCGGCGGACAGGGCAACCTTTCGTTCCGAGCCAGATTTGGTGACAGTAGCTTTAGCCGCCCAGTCGGCTCTTCTGGTACGTGACACTTTGGTTTGGTTTACACTTGATTCGGTATATGACGATCCTTTGTTTTGCAGACGGTTAGAAGGATTGCAGAATTGGGCCGCCGCTAGCATGACGCTGTGGAAAGGATTGGCCGTTTGCAATCTGAAGTCAAGGGTTAAAGGAGCAAGGCGGAGTTTGAGGCGATGAGAGCCGCCATGGAAAATGCACGGGCCGAGGTCGAGGAAGAGAAGGCCAGGACGGTGGATCAACTCAGAGCTAATGCTGAGAACAGGGCAAATGCGAGCGAGGAATCGCTTAAGTTAGCCAAAGAGGCGCTTGCCAAGCTTGAGGCCGAGTTTGAGGAGTTGAAGCAAGCCAAGGAGAAAACCGACTCTGAGTCTTCGGCGGCATTCGAGGCGGGAAAAAACTCCGCTCTTCAGGACTATGTAGAAGAGGTTCCCAAATTCGAGAATTGGGGGTTCAAACACGGCTGGCTCAAAGCCCTTGCTGCCACTGGAGTTACATTGGCCATGCCAATTCCTTACGAGCAAGTGGATGTTGAGCCGCTTGAGTCTGACCCTGAGACTTGATTTGGGAGACATTCTAGTTTTGCTAGGCTTTTCTTACTTTCAATGTCTGTTTTTTGTCTAGTAGATTTTCGTCTATTTTGGATTTTCATATGTAAAATGTCTGTTGTTAGCGCTCAATTTTATGAATGAAAATTTTATATGCTTTTCTAGACATTTTTTGTATTGTTTGTTGTATGAGTAGACAATTAGGAGCATCAGTAGTTATGACAAAATTTCAAGACTACGTGAGCCGGCAGGCTTAGGAACCGAATAACACTTTGATGATGATTCTTGTGTTGATGAATCGATTCGTGGAATGGCTGGGGCATTTGAGCCGAATGGATTGATGAATCTGCCCTTGCCCCAGTGGGTCCACAATCGCAGCTCGCCGAATAACATTTTCATGATTCTTGCGTTGATGAATCAATTCGTGGAGCGGCTGGGTCATTTGAGCCGAATAGATTGATGAATTTGCCCTTGGCCCAGCGGGTCCACAATCGCAGCACACCAAATAACACGTTTATATCGATTCATGGAACGGCTGGGGTATGCGGGCCAAATAGATTGATGAACGTGCCCTTGCCCCAGCGGGTCCACAATTGCAGCTCGCCGAATAACATTTTGACGATGATTCTTGTGTTGATGAATCGATTCGTAGAGCGGTTGGGTCATTTGAGCCGAATAGATTGATGAATCTGCACATGGCCCAGCGGGTCCATAATCGTAGCACACCGAATAAAATTTTCATGATTCTTGTGTTGATGAATCGATTCGTAGAGTGGCTGGGTCATTTGAGCCGAATAGATTGATGAATCTTCCTTTGGCCCAACGGGTCCACAATCTCAGCACACCGAATAACACGTTTATATCGATTCATGGAACAGCTGGGGTATGCGGGCCGAATAGATTGATGAACCTGCCCTTGCTCCAGCGGGTCCATAATCGCAGCTCGCCGAATAACATTTTGACGATGATTCTTGTGTTGATGAATCGATTCGTGGAGCGGCTGGGTCATTTGAGCCAAATAGATTGATGAATCTGCCCTTGGCCCAGCGGGTCCACAATCGCAGCTCACTGAATAACACGTTTATATCGATTCATGGAGCGCCTGGGGCATGCGCTCAGCGCACGACCCGGTCGGCGCCGGGTTGTTTGGCGCTTCGACATTGAGGAGATTGCCACGGAGGTGCTACCCCCGTAGGTAATAAATGGGTGTGTACTTTGTGAACGAGGGTCCTATTTACGTGCTCAGTCAGCAGTTCAGTCCAGCTCTTTCAAGGAAGATTAAATAAGTGCAAATGTCAGATAAACTTTTCTTCAACAACAGAGGAGAAGTGAAGACGCTAGCTGAGCTGGGAGGAGCCATGAGTCAAAGCGGTGAGCCTTCACGCACGGGCAATAGGACTTCGAGGGATCAAGAAAGACGCCAATCTCCTCGTCGTTGGAGTAGGTCGCCCAGGAAGGACAAACAACCTCATCGTAAGTCTCCTTAACTCGGTCCAAGCAAGCAATTTGACGCGACTCCTTGTCCATTGAGTTTCGCGGTTTTCGTGGGTAATAGACCAATGACAGAGGCGGACTCAATTATTCGAGATTCAAACATGGCAGTTGAGTTTGCTCGACAAATTTTCCTGCCCGAAGTTCAGCAGTCGATGGTGGGTCGGCAGGATTTTGAAGTGTTTCGCGAAGGCATTCACGGGGCGGTGAGTGGACTATACACGGCTTACGAGATTGGCATGCGTCTCCGCGCCGCTCACCGCTATATCGAACAGAGAGATGACCGCATTCAGAAATTGGAGGCTCGCGTCGAGAAGGCCGAGCGTGAAATAAGGAAAATCAAGTCTGCGGGGGCCCAACCGACCAACCACCCCAACTCGATTATTGAAGAGAGGGTTACTCAAAGGCTGATTAACGATGCGATCGCCGATCGAAATACGGCTAGGACGTTTGCGATTGAGACTGCGAGGACAACGACCTATGAACAAGGCTTCCACGACGGCCGAAAGATCAGAATTCAGAAGACCAAGGAGAAGCTCACCGAGGAAGTCTGTCGATGCAAAAATCGAGGATTTAGACACGGTTGGATCAAGGAGCTATAGCAAGCGGAGAGTCTCCGAGCAGCAGGGCTGGATTCGGCGTTTCCATTGTATCAACAGAATGATCTTCCCTTCTTTGCGTTTGAAATTGAGAAGAGCGATGACAAAGAAGATGACGAATCGAAGAAAACTTTGTAATACTTTGTAATGCTTTGTAAAAGTGAAGTTATGTATTTACTAGCTGAATTTAATAAAATGCTTGATTTTCAGTTCTTTGTAGTAGTGCACTTGTTATTTATATTAGTATGCCCTTTATTTATAATAGATGCTTATGCGACTTGAACATTCTTATTCGGAATTTGAAAATTTTGTTCAGCACATGCGTAATTTCCGCGGTTCCTTTTTCGGCCCAAAGATTTGGATTGACTCTGAACTCGGAGACTCCAATTAGCTGATCGTGATCTCTACGAAGGGCGCTCCAAATCTGGAGGATTTCTCGGCCTAAAGACGTCTTGCGCCGAGGGCGCTCCGAATCCGGAGGCTTTGATTTGGCCAATCGTGATAACCACGAAGGGCGCTTCGAATCCGGAGGCTTTCTCGGCCTAAAAACGTCTTGCCCCGATGGGGCTCCGAATCCGGAGACTTTGATTTGGCCAATTGTGGTATCCACGAAGGGCGCTCCGAATCCGGAGGATTTCTCGGCCCAAAGACGGCTTGGCTGAGGGCGCTCCGAATCCGGATACTTTGATTTGGCCAATCGTGATATCCATGAAGGGCGCTCCGAATCCGGAGGCTTTCTAGGCCCAAAGATGTCTTGCGCCAAGGGAGGGCACTCTGAATCCGGAGGCTTTGATTTGGCCAATTGTGCTATCCATGAAGGGCGCTCCGAATCCGGAGGCTTTCTCGGCCCAAAGACGCCTTGCGCCGAGGGCGCTCCAAATCCGGAGGCTTTGATTTGACCAATCGTGATATCCACGAAGGGCGCTCTGAATACGGAGGCTTTCTCTGCCCAAAGACGACTTGCGCCGATGGGACACCTTTGAACTACATGTGATAAATGAACGGGAATCTTTGTATTACAGAAGAAAAAAGATGTACATGGCATTATGTCCCACAAGTCGGGTTAATGATAAAATTTGCGTAAATGCGTGGAATTCCAAGGCCGTGGCAGACTCGTTCCTGACATGTCTTTGAGCTGATATGCCCCTACTCCTGCGATCGAATCAATCTCATAGGGACTGTAGACACCCCATTTTTGACCGTCCTCAAGACCTGGACGTCACCGTTTGAACACTCGGTGATTATCCATGTTTGTGTTCGTTTGGAGTTCCCGGAAGTCTCGGCTCGCGCGCCTTGCTTCAGGATCCCCGAACTTGACCGTTTAGTGTCTGATATGCCCCTACTCCTGCGATCGAATCAATCTCATAGGGACCGTCCCATTTAGGACCTAATTTTTCGTCGGCCGATTTCTTGGCAGCTGGCAGTACCTTCTTTATAATCAATTCTCCTAGTGTGTAGCGGTGTAGCTGAACACGTTGATTGTACGACTTAGCCAGCTGCTGTTGATACCGCACCATGGATGCAAGGGCACAGTCTCTTCGTTCTTAATTAGGACCAAGTCCAAGGCCAGCATCATATCGTTTCGGCCCATATCAAAAACTGCCAATTTCAGGGTTGGGAGGCCAATCTCCAGGGGTATGATGGCCTAGGTTCCGAAGCAGAGAGCAAATGGGGTTTCCCCAGTAGACCGCCTTGGTGTAGTTCGATGAGCCCATAACACACTTGGCAATTCCTTGATCCATTTGCCTTTGGCCTTTTCTAGCCCCTTCTTGATGTCGTCCAAGATAGATTTGTTAGAGGCTTCGGCCTAACCATTGCTTTGTGGATAAGTTGGGGTAGAAAAGTAAGGCCGTATACCATACTTGCTGCACAGCTCTCAGTAGACGCCACAATCGAATTGGGTGCCGTTATCTGAGATATGTGCTTTTGGGATACTGAACCTTGTTATGATGTTTCTCCAAACGAATCGCTTCACGTCGGTGTCTTGGATGTGGGTTAGTGCCTCTGCTTCTACCCATTTTGTAAAATAATCTCAGGAATACAAGCTTTCTGTATTGGTGTTGGTTCTTTGAACCCAAGACTATATATTGCTTCCCAAAGCAATGATCCAAACAGAGCATTATAGAAATGAAATCAACCTTTCCTTGATGAGCAGCTGCAGGAATACAAGCTTTCTGTATTGGTGTTGGTTCTTTGAACCCAAGACTATATATTGCTTCCCAAAGCAATGATCCAAACAGAGCATTATAGAAATGAAATCAACCTTTCCTTGATGAGCAGCTGCAGGAATACAAGCTTTCTGTATTGGTGTTGGTTCTTTGAACCCAAGACTATATATTGCTTCCCAAAGCAATGATCCAAACAGAGCATTATAGAAATGAAATCAACCTTTCCTTGATGAGCAGCTGCAGGAATACAAGCTTTCTGTATTGGTGTTGGTTCTTTAAACCCAAGACTATATATTGCTTTCATAAGCAGGGGAAGTAGCCTCAGTTCATTCCAAGCGTAATATTCAGCTTCATCAACTGAATCTCCTTCAATATCCTCCTTGGGATCACTGACTTCTGTCACAATTTAATTTTGTAAAAAAAAAAAACACTCGTTCAAATAGAATCCAAAGTACAAACTATCTAACAAATTTAATCACTTTATGAAGCAGTCTGCACTATCTCATAAACTTAACTTTAAGATTGACCCAGAAATTGATAAGTGGCAGACTCATAACAAGTACATTTGTAGTGAATCAGAACCAAAATATTACCAAATCATTTATATATGAAAAAAGAGATCAAAACTTGTCAACCTTAAATGCATTCCCAACCCAAAGATCAATAAATTACCATTAATATGTAGAGAGACAAAAATATACCAAATTATGATTTATCTAGCACAGAAATGGATAAATACTAAAGCATTGACATGTTCAGAACAAAATCTATAAGAAACCTTAACCTCAATCTAATCAAACAAAATTTTATACTGATCCACAAATTTACTAAAAAATAAATAAACAGAATTAAAATTTTGACTCAAATTATTAAAAATTGAAGAGAATTCAAAACACTAACCAGCAGTTGGTTCTTCATTTTCCTCAGAATTCTTTGCATCCTTGTTCTTCTTTTTCTTCTTCTTCTTTTTCTTCTTTCTCTTCACTTTATTATCCTTCTCTTCACTTACAGCTTCAACCTCACCACCAAGCTCATCCTCCACTTCACTATGCTTCCTTTTTTTCTCATTTTTATTTTCTTTAGTCCTTTGTTTCTTGTTTTCTCTCTCAGGTTTAGGAATTTCCAAACCATACTCAGATTCATCAATCTCTTCAAGCGATAGAAAACCTACATTCACAACCAAAAAATATGTATATATCATCATCTCTTAAAATTTCCAAATCAACCCCTGTTTGGTTGCCAAGAAAATGCAGGAAACTAAAAGAACTCAACTGTTTAGAATTCTGAAGCATGTGCACAAAAACTAACAGAAACCCATAACGAAAAACAGCATGAAAACCCAAAATTTTCGTTTAATTGAAATTGAAAACTAATCGAACCTCCCTCGAGTTCGCTAGAGCCAACAGAGATAAAGAAAGGGTCGTCGTTTTCGGAGAGAGAAGAGTTCCATGGAAGCGAATCGAAGCGGTCGAGCTGTTCAAAGCCTTGTCTGGGTCGCTTTGCCTTGTTTGGTTTCTTCTTTGAAGCCATGACCAGAGCTCAGAGCTTACAAACACGGTCGAACGGCGACCCTTTTAGGGCTGTACGAGTGTTTTGGTGCGCAGTGTTTTGGATACTCGTGAAAATTAATAACATTACCAAATTTTTTGTTAAACTAGAGTTCCTTAAGGTTCACTAATTTTACAGAATTTTCGAATTGCTCAATCAAAACCTTGATTTTTAGTGAAAATCCCCAAATCAAAACCCTAGTTTGAATCTACAAACCTGGTTGAAGGGTGGAAGTGTTCTTTGCGTGCGTAAGTCTCTTCCGTCTCCTTTCGGCCATCTTCTCTCTCCGTCGTTACTTCTCTTTCTTTGTTCTTTTCTTCTGGTTCAGAGCTCTGTCTGTGTGTATTTTCTTTGTTCATCTTCTCCTTCTCACTCATTGTTATGCCGGTTGGGGTTTGGGTTTGGGATTTGGGGTCTAAAGAAGAGAGAGAGTGAGGGTTTTGAAGAGTTTTTGCAAAAGAAAGAGAGGAGGGTTTGGGATTTGGTGTCCGATGCAAAGAGAGGGTAGTGGTTTGAAGAGCTTTAGCAGAGACCTGAGAGAGAGAGAGGAGATGGTACGATGGAGAGAAATTTTTTTTACTCACAAAAAATTTTCATTTCCCCCTCCATGTTTTAAATTTTCCTCCCAAATTTTTGGCAACCAAAAGACAATATTAATCGCAAAAAAGCTATCTTCGCCGACAAATTTTTTTAGTCGCAAAATCTCAATCAACGGCGACTAAAATATTAGTTGCTAAAAATATAATTTGGCGACTAATTTTTTTTGGTTGCTGAAAATAAGTTTTTGGCGACCAAATTTTTGGTCGCCAAAAAATATGTGACCTTTCGCGACCAAATGTGTAGTTGGTCGGCAAAAACATACCACTTTCTGCGACCAATTCATTTTTTGGTCGCTAAAATATAACCTTCTACGACTAATAATATTTGGTCGTCAAAATTAATGATCATTCGCGACTACTTAATATTTGGTAGCCAAATATCATTTTTTTGCGACCAAAATTTTTTTGGTCGGCAAAAATGGTCGCCAAATGTGTAAATTCTTGTAGTGAATGGGATCCATCCAACTTGGTCCAAGTTTTACAATATTGACTTGGAATTCTTCCGAAGAGCCAATGCTGGGCTTTGGGATGAATCCTACCTCGATGGTTCGTTTAATCTCTGAGTTGATGGCGGAGACTAGGCAAGCAAGGGCATCTGCATGTGTGTTCTGATCACGTGTTATCTGGTTCAGCTCATGATGGTCGAATTTTGCCATCAAGGAGTTGGCCGTTTTCATGTAAGCCGCCATACGGTCGTTTCTTGCCGCGTACTCCCCCTTTAGCTGATTGATCACCAATTTTGAGTCACAAAATACAAGCAAACGCCGAGCGCCCAGAAGATGTGCATTTCTCAAACCGGCTAGAAGAGCCTCATAGTCGGCTTCGTTGTTTGACGCTTCGAAGCCGAGCTTGACGGCCTGCTCAATTATTGCGTCATCCGGAGCCATGATCACAACTCCTGCTCCGCTGCCCCGCTAGTTGGATGATTCATCACAGTACAACTGCCAAATGTCCCCGACATAAATCCTCCAGTTCGGCTCCGATCGACTCTCCTCAACGGACTTGAAATCGGCAAGACCCCTAGTGAATTCAACAACAAAGTCGGCAAGAACCTGTCCCTTGATTGAAGTTCTCGGTAGAAACTGAATGTCGTATTGGCCGAGTTCAAGAGCCCACTTTGAAACACGTCCTGACGCTTCCACATTTCGTGGTACTGATCGAAGGGGATAGTCTGTTAGGACCCCAATGCTGTGGCCCTGGAAGTAATGCGTCAGTTATCTTGCCACCATGACTAGGGCAATGATGAGTTTTTCCAGCGGAAGGTAGCATGTTTCGGCGTCAACCATAGCCTTGCTCACGTAATACACTGGCCGGTGCTCCCCCAACTCTTCCTTTATCAGTACGGCGCTGACGGCCCTATCGGAGACTGCCAAATACAAAATGAGCGGGTCACCAGTAGCAGGTGTTGACAAGAGTGATACTGAGCGAAGGTAAGTCTTGAGCCCATTGAAAGCGGCTTCGCATTCGGCAGACCATTCAAAAGCCTTGCCCGGCCGTAGTGTATGGAAGAATTGTCGGCAGCGATCTGTGGACCGACTGATGAACCTATTGAGTACGACGACCATCCCCATCAACTTTTGAACCTCTTTTACCGAACGGGGGGAGCCGAGTTCCAAGATTGTTGTAATTTGCCTCGAGTTGGCCTCGATTCCTCGGTGGTTGACAATGTAAGTACAGCGCTGACGACCCTATCGGAGACTGCCAAATACAAAATGAGCGGGTCACCAGTAGCAGGTGTTGACAAGAGTGATACTGAGCGAAGGTAGGTCTTGAGCCCATTGAAAGCGGCTTCGCATTCGGCAGACCATTCAAAAGCCTTGCCCGGCTGTAGTGTATGGAAGAATTGTCGGCAGCGATCTGTGGACCGACTGATGAACCTATTGAGTACGACGACCATCCCCATCAACTTTTGAACCTCTTTTACCGAACGGGGGGAGCCGAGTTCCAAGATTGTTGTAATTTGCCTCGAGTTGGCCTCGATTCCTCGGTGGTTGACAATGTAGCCCAAGAACTTGCCGGAGCCGATTCCAAACGCACATTTGGAAACATTCAGCTTCATTTTGTATTTTCGTAAAATGCCGAATGTATTCTCTAGATCGGCTATATGATTTTGTTCTTCCTTGGATTTGACCACCATGTCATCAATGTACACTTCCATAGTGTGGCCGAGTTGTTCCTTGAACATGGCGGCGACCAGTCTTTGGTAGGTTGCCCTTGCATTCTTCAGCCCAAAAGGCATGACCTTGTAGCAGTAGGTTCCTCTTGGGGTGAGCAATGCAGTTTTGTCCTGGTCTTTTGGATGCATGGCGATCTGATGGTAGCCTCTGTAATTATCGAGGAAGCTCATACGTTGATGGCGAGCCGTCGCATCGACAAGTTGGTCGATTCTGGGTAGGGGAAAACAATCTTTAGGGCAGGCTTTTTTTAGGTCGGTAAAATCGACACACACTCACCAAGTCCCGTTTTTCTTCTTCACCACCACTGTATTAGAGAGCCATGTAGGGTAGGTTACTTCACTAATTGCCCCGGCGACAAGTAGCCTGTCAACCTCCTCAACAACGGCGGCAGTGTGTTCTGCGCCTGACCGTCGACTTTTCTGAATAATTGGCTTGCATTTTGAATCGACATTCAACTGGTGCCGAGAAACTGACGGATAGATACCTGGCATCGCATACGGAGTCCAGGCAAAGACATCCAGGTTATTGAGCAGGAAAGAGACCAATTGCTGTCTGTCGGCCGGATTCAGGAAGGACCCGATCATGAAGAACTTGTCCGGGTTTCCATCGATTTCAACTCGGTCTAAACCTTCCGTGGCCTTTTCATTGGGGAGCCGCCCAACATCGTCGAGGTTCTCTTGATCCGGGAGCTCAATGGAATTTACCTGTAGTTCCTTTGGCGTTTTGGCAGCAAGGAGATAACATGCTTGTGCCGATTTCTGGGAGCCACGGATTTGCTCAATACCGCGCTCCATCGGGAAGCGTAGCAGCTGATGGTAGGTGCTTGGCATGGCTTGCATTGTTGCAACCAGGATCGTCCCATGATGAGATTATACACCGATGGTAGCTTGACGACCAAGAATTCTACATCCACTGTTCGGGAGCCTGCTCGAACGGGTAGCCTGATTTTTCCTAACGGATACTCTGGATTGGCATTGAAGCCGAATAGTGGATAAAGGGCTGGAGAGAGATCGGATTCGGAGAAGCCGAGTTTGGTAAAAGTCTTATAGTACATAATCTCCGAAGTGCTCCCCGGATCAATGAGTACACGCTCAATTGTGAACCGATTTACGCGTAACTCGATTATCAAGGGATCAATGTGGGGCAGTGTTACTTCGGCCAAATCTGAATCAATAAAAGTAATGCCCTTGGCTTTGTGGGGCCGTTTAGCCGGGGTGAGTTGGTTCCGAGGCTCAGACTCTGACTGGATCGCGTACACCGCTGATGACGTCGGCATGCTGTATATCATGTGGATTACACCGGGCGGAGGTGAATCCTGTCTCAAGGTTATTGCTTTGTTTGGGACCACCGGTGCTTTGAATTTCTTGGGTAGCACTGCCTTTGCAATCCGTCGTACAAAAGGATTATATTGATCTTCGTTCGAGCTGTTTCTTCTTCGCTTAAGCCTTATCCGGGGCCTCTCTTCAGAAGAGCTGGAAGTTTCAGCTCGTCCCTTCTTCTTGAGCTCTGGGGGTAATGATTCGGGGTTGCTATCAGTGTCTTGTTGTCGGGCTCGAGATCGTCGACCATCTGTCCTCACGGGTTGCTCCGAGCCTTGGTGTGCGGCTTGTTTGGACTTCGCCACCTCCAGGGCCAAATCCTGGCGGAGACGCTCGTTCTCTGCGCTCATGTTCTCCAACCTTTTTCATTTTTCTTTGCTTGTTCCATGATCTCTTGCATTGCTTCATGCTCTGGAGTCGAAGGTGAGACGAAGTTCAGGGCGCATCTTACGGGAATGGTTTCCGGTCCAAGCATGGTTGTTGGAGTGAGGTCGTCTCTCTGCGTGGTTTCATGAATGACTATCGGAGGGTCCTCCGTTACGCCCACCATGGATGTGTTTGAGTATTCCCACAGACGGTGCTAGTTGTGGGGAAGTGGTTTGGAAATACCCTTCTGATCCTGGGAAGCGCTTGTGATCCTCTGATAGTAACCTGAAAGGAAATAAACACTCCGGTCGGGCATGTCGGAATTAGCACTCCGACAGACAAGTCAGTCCCAAGCTCTAGGTTACTTGTATTCTAAGTTAAATACCACAATTATCACACATACCTTTCCACGATTGCAGGTCCCCTATTTATAGTATTCTCCCTGGGTCTGGGAGCCTGGCCCACTCCTAGCCCCTATAATGCATTCCTACACGGCACTTATTAGTAGGAACGCCGGCTCTTATACTCGGCCCCTCAACTGGATAGGGTAAATGCCGAATAGAAGTCACGTTCGGGGCCGACTTGTCTTACTCTCATTGATCCAGAATTTATCGGCTCCCACACTGAACACTGCTTGTATCCTTCTCTTCGAAGAAGTATAAATCCTCCAGACCCTCCTCCAGATCAGCCAAATCCTCTTGTAAGTCAGCTAAGTCATTTAGGCCTTGTTCAGGCCGATCATTCTAATATTGCCCTAACTGGCCTTTTCCGATAGCATTAATGCTGAGAAAGTCTGGCAGCATGACTACTGGTTTCAGTTGATTGAAGGCCACAATGTATACACTGGGATCGTACTCCTTTATGAGTGAGACGCCCTTTTCTATGACACGAGTATCAAACGACCCTGTCTTCAGTGCATTCTTCTCTTTCTCTATTTCTATTGCCACGGGTTTGGATTGGGTTTGTGGTGTTAAATCCATCATGCACATGTCTGTGCCTTCTAGAATGACCACCTCCGGTTTTGGTAGGTGGGATGAGG